TTTCATGTGATCGCAGAGCGCTTTAGCATCCGATCCACAGCTGGCCTTCACTTCGACCGCCTCTTCAATCAATAGATCCAGTCTTCGGGTGAGTCCGCTCTCGAAAGCCGTCGATTCACTCAAATAATTGCCGCAATCGTCGAGAAGTGACTGCAGATTAGACACCAACTCATCGAACGTCTTCTCCCTCTTCGGTGCCATGTCTTCAGCCATATCTCCAGCGTTGGAGCCATTGATGGCGCGCCCAGTGGTGGCCACCACTACTCCACTGTCACCGCAATTGTCTTCATGGGCCGACTCGTACTGACTGTTGTGTTGCTCGCCATCGCACAGATCGATGACCAGCTCTTTGGGGTGATAATCATGACTGGAATCCATGTCCTTAACAAAGACCTAAACCTAACGTAACTGTGGATCCAATTTGCGATACAATGCTATTCGCAATGCTATTCGAATTTCGCAGTCAATGTGATCGCTATATGACTACATAGAGTGCGCGTACATCGCACTCACACACCGTTCGCAGTCATGACGACAGCGACTATTTCGCACACATTGAGTGCATTAGCGATTGAAAACGTGAGGTCACGTGACGTGTGAGTGGTTTATGTGTGCGTTGAGTGCGAGTCTTACGAAGAGTGCGAAAAAGTGCCGCTTTTTGGGTCCCATCAATACAATGAGCCAAACGGTGACCACTCGCTGGACATTCACTGATAATGACCTTAAGAACCATCGGCTTAGGAAACGGGACGCCATCGGAGCTCAAGAGGAGATCCAATACCGCCAAAAGGGCACCCATTATATCAAAGAAATGGCAGATCTGCTCAAACTGTAAGTTCCGGTCGCGTGTGACTACCAATTGGCGTGTCTTTGACGCAATGGTAACCTAATTATGAATTGATCCCACAGTCGGCCCATATGTATGAACACCGGAATCGTTTACTTTCACCGCTTCTTCGCCTTGAGATCATTCAAAGCGTTTGATGTGAACGTAAGTGTTGTCAATGTCTCGCACTTTGACCCCTTTCTAGCCATATGTGTGCCATTCGTGTGGCGAACCTATTGTCTTATCTGAATGTCAATGTGAGCCACAGTTAGCCTCTTAGGCGCGCCTCCAGTGATGTCTGTTTGCCTGATCTGCGAGACTGTGTCTGCGATCGCATTGCGAAAGCATTGAACGCGTTGTTGACATTGAAAATGAATGCAATCAACGATTCAATGACTCATCACTTGTTATCTCATTATTGATGTGTGTATTGAACGCACACTTGCTTTGCACCCATTCATCACCACATGCTATGTGTGGCCATTACTCGTATTAATTGTCTCATTATGTCTTCATATGGCAGGAAATCTCGATTTGCAGTCTGTTTCTGGCGGCAAAGTTCGAGGAGCAGCCCATCCGTAAGGAGGACCTGATCCGAGCGGCGCTCTGCTGTCGCCCTAAGACGCGACACTCAGCCCACGAGGTAGTGGTTGTGATATAGTCGGCCATTAGTGTCTCACTCGTGGCTAACATATCTGTTGATAATCGCAGGACTTTAAGAGTGAATACCGGACGCAATGCGAGCGACTGATTGCCAACGAGAATGAGATGCTATTGACGTTCGGCTTCGACCTAATGGTCATTCACTCGCATACTGTGATCATAAGCGCCTCCGATAACCACTCTGTGATAAAGCGAGAGATCGGTGCGAACGCCTACAAGATGGCCGGCGATC